CTGCGGTTCCCCGTCTTGTCCCGCGCCCTTTTAATTCGAGCTAGCGCATCGCCGGTGTTTCCTGAAAAAAAAAAAACAAAAACAAATAAAAAAACAACGGGAAGCGGGGCCGGCGGCGCTTTGTCTGCAGACAAAGGAAGGCCTTGCGTTTCCACGCAGGAGCCGCTGTGTGGTTCCTATCCCTGCCTCAGCTGTCACGCTTGGAAGGAGCCCCATAAATAACGACCCTTTTAATTCGAGCTAGCGCATCGCCGGTGTTTCCTGAAAAAAAAAAAACAAAAACAAATAAAAAAACAACGGGAAGCGGGGCCGGCGGCGCTTTGTCTGCAGACAAAGGAAGGCCTTGCGTTTCCACGCAGGAGCCGCTGTGTGGTTCCTATCCCTGCCTCAGCTGTCACGCTTGGAAGGAGCCCCATAAATAACGAATATCACCCCGCGCACACAGAACCGTACCGCACGGATGTAGGATGTACTCTGAGTAAATAACGGGCTTTATGTGCCGCGCCTGCCCACGTGCTGCCTTCTCTCTGAGGGGTCGGAGGGGGGGCTTAGATGTCTGCCTGCTGTAGGTATGACAAAGTACAGTTTTAATTACATAACAGAAATAAAGCTCGTTATCCAGAATATTAGCTATCCGAAGAAAAACTACCAAATTTCTTTTGAGGGGAGGGGCTTAGGCATATATGGAGTCTCAAAATTTTTCCTTTTTTTTTTAGAGTTTGATATACATAAAAGATGGACTGGAGTGGAAAGCATAACGGGCCAAATGATACAACTAATGATGGAACAGTGGTACGACTTCGAGGCTTGCCATTTGGTTGCAGCAAAGAAGAGATTGTTCAGTTTTTCCAAGGTATCTCTAGTATAGTCAAAGTAACAGTGACTGGATTTTCTTGTATCTTCTACACAGTGTTTTGCACATTTTAATTTGTAATAGCTATTAATGGGGGTGGATGGGAGGGATTATGTTAAATTAGTTTATCATAAGTAAGAATTATGCCCTGTAAATGAAGTACAAATAACCATAGATGTAGTGAAACACAGTATGTATCTAATTCTGTCGAGGTGGTAAACATATTATGCATATTGGGATAATCTGAATGTTAGTGCTGGGATCAGTTAAATTGCTTGATTGGTAGCTATGTTTTCTTCGTGTAACTTAGGTGGTTTTATTTTTGCATAGTTTAAACAGAAAAGAATTACGGCTAAAACCATAAATGTTTAATGCAAGATCATGGGCTTGTATTGTTGGGTGATGGGGGAAACAAGGTGGTTTTCTTTTTCGTTGTTGTTGTTTAGCTGTGCTTTAAGTATTTGCTGCAGATGGGAATGTTTCAGCCTTTAACACTGTTCCCCTTGATGGGGTTATTTGTCCTTGGGTTAAAGGGTTGGAAATCGTGCCAAATGGGATAACATTGACGCTGGACTACCAGGGGAGAAGCACAGGGGAGGCCTTCGTGCAGTTTGCTTCAAAGGAGATAGCAGAAAATGCTCTGGGGAAACACAAGGAAAGAATAGGGCACAGGTGGGGATGGAGAGTTTGGGATGGTGTTAAATCTTTATTTTTGGGGGTTGTGGGTCAGTAATGCTTTTGGGGGGGTTGGGGACCATTATATGGAACTGGCTGTTGTTAAGATATTTTTTTTTTATAACTGATCCTAAGTTAACTTGGGGAATACAGTAGATTTGGGGGGTGGGGGAGACAGTATTGCTCTGGGTAGTTTGCTAAACTCAGAAAACTGTTTCAATCGTTCTTGCGTAGGGGAATTTGTGATAAATGCTAGACATTGTTTTTCCACAGTATGTTTCTCATACTGGAAAGACATGTTTTATGCTTAACTTGTACAGCTAGAATTTTCACGTAGCCATTTTTGCCACTGTATAAAGTGTTTGGGTTTTGTTTTTATACACTTAAGATTCTTACGGTTTTGAGGAGAAACTTAAGTTGTATGGTATCTCTAGTCACTTCTATTGGATTGTATGTTTAGTCATAGAAAACGTAGTATGGCCTTTTATAATATTCAGACAGCTTATGCGTGTATTCTCATTGGTACCTTGAAAATCCTCTTTTATTAGATACATTGAAATCTTCAAAAGTAGTAAGAGCGAAATCAGAGGATTCTCTGACATGCCAAGAAGAATGATGGGACAACAACGACCTGGACCATATGATAGACCATTAGGAGGAAGAGGGGGTTATTATGGAGCTGGGCGTGGAAGTATGTATGACAGAATGCGTCGAGGAGGTGGTGGATATGACGGTGGTATGTTTATCTAATGAACGGAGGTTCTGTTGTCAGTTTCATGTTTCTGACATCTTTGTCAAGAAATAAAGAAATGGCAGTAGCTGCAGTACCTGTTAGGTTTGACACACTTATCTCCAAGAAATTTTTGCTTGTAATGTATTGAAAAACATGGGTTAGTGTTTAAGATTAATGGGAATAATATGGAAACTGTATTTTCAGCAGAATTTGATCTCACTTGCATGTTTCAGTCTTTTTGCAATATATAAGGAAATTTACGTTTGCACTCTGTCCAGAAATCCAGGTTTAACACTGTGTAGAGGCTGTCTGCAAACTTCTGGGTGCCCAAAGACTGAAAAATTGAGTCTTGTGCATCGCTCTGTGAATTTTGAGTCATAATGTAATCGTTCCTTTCTCTCTCTCTGTTGCACAGGATATGGTGGCTTTGATGATTACGGTGGCTATAATAACTATGGCTATGGAAATGATGGCTATGATGACAGAATGAGGGATGGGAGAGGTAAAAAATATATTTTACCTTTTTTTAGTAGTTTAAAAAGATTTTGATACCATTTGAGTTGTAAGACATGGTGTTTCCAAGACAGAAATAAGTCGTTTATTCATGGCCTTATTTTCTAAAGAAAGAAAGTTGGTTTTAAAAACAGGAGGGAATTTGGGAATATAAGGAAGAGGTAAATACATTACTTAGGGTGTCTTCTGGTTAAGGTTTGGGTTGATACACGGGAAGTGTAAACATCACATTCAGTGGTATAAAGTCAGTGTGTTCAGAAGAACAGCAGTAATGGCTTTTCTGGCTTTTCATTACGATCTTACAGGTGTGTGGTTTTGTTTGTTTTGGGTTTTTTAATAGGCATGGGAGGACATGGCTATGGTGGAGCTGCAGATGCAGGGTCAGGTTTCCATGGTGGTGGTCATTTTGTTCACATGAGAGGACTGCCTTTCCGAGCAACGGAAAATGATATCGCTAATGTAAGTATAGTGGGAAAAGGGGCTTTCTGTCGGCAGGAGTTCGCATGTTCTTGTCTTTCCCATTCCAAACTTGGTTCAAGTTCTCAGACAAGGGATTTGATAGCTCTAATACATCTGCTGAGTAAAGTCACATTGTAAAATGTGAGTTTTACAAAGCTTAGTAGTAAATGAGCTTTTATAAAGGTGTAATGACTGAGGTAAGATTACGGAAGGAGTCAGCCGAACCATATGTAACATTAATCTCTGTACTCTCAGTGTTCTCATTTCCCTAAAAGGTGTATTGGACAGAGAACGGTTGTTGCAATCGTTATCCTCGTTTTCTGTCTTTCAGAAGTTTAAGTTTAACTGAAGTTTTATATTTTTTTAGAAGAGCAATAGCAGATGTGAAACTTTGATTGTCGTCTGTGTATTTGTATATCGATCTGAGACTTGTTTTAGGAGGGACAGAGAGGGAGAGCTGCAGGGAGCTGTGTTCAGTCAGAGGGAAAGGTATCCCATTACTTGCAGGAGATCCAGGTGGCAGATAAAAGCCTATCTGCAAGACTTTGGGAATACGTTCTTCTGTCAGTATAGATGTGTGTGTAGGTGGGGAGAAAAGTTTTCCTGGGATTTAAGGCCTGGTTTAAACATAGCCTCTCTCCAGAGGGGGCTCCATCTTTAATTGCACCTATATAATATACGTGCAGAACTCCATTCTTAAGCTTGTGCTTGTTTTGTGTTTTGTTTTTTTTTTAAATTTTGTTTTAATTGTGCTATGTTTTGCTCTATCAGTTTGCTAGTATTCTTTAATCTAAAGATGGTAAGAAGAAGGGCCAGATTTCAGGGTTTGATTTAGAGCATGTTATTGCAAGTTGATGAGTAGCACACCAGTAGTATACCAAAGGTTCGTTTGCATTTGCTGTTTGGTAAAAAAGGCTGTTGGTCAGAAATACCGCTATCTCTCTTTGAGTTCTGTAGCACGGAAGACAGGCATCATTTTTTGGATTACATAAATACGTCTCTGCTGTGAGAAATTTATTTGGCTCTGCTTCTTCCAAAACCAAGTAGTTATTTTCCTTTTCCAGGATGGCATCGTGGTAGAACTTGTTGCTTAAAGTGGTGCACTTGGGCAGGAATTTTTGTTTGTATCTTTGTTTTTAAAGAAAGCTCCTCAAGCTCTGGAGCTGGAGCTCTTCAATTAGTGTAGTAACAATAGATTGCAAATGTGGGCTGACCTGATGTTGAAGGTCTGCTATCACTAAGTAATGCGTTGGAAATGAGGAATTAAATTTATGTGGTAGGATGAGATGACATTAATGCAGTGTTCCACTAACCACTAAAGTGGAAAGAAAAGCACCTGGCTTGAATTCTGCATTAATGTGGGTTTTTTTGTTGTTTTTATTCTTAGTTTTTCTCACCATTGAATCCTATAAGAGTTCACATTGATATTGGGGCAGATGGAAGAGCCACAGGAGAGGCAGATGTGGAATTCGTAACACACGAGGATGCAGTAGCTGCCATGTCAAAGGACAAAAATCACATGCGTAAGTGTCGTATTCACCTTGTGTTCATTGACCAGGCTTTAGCAGGGGTATGTATAAGAGTAAACCAAACATAAGGGTTTAAATGGCACTTAAGTTGCTGTGCAGTAAATGTACAACTCGTGAGACTTTTGCCATTTGTCACATTTCGGACCCGCTTCTTTTGGGCTTCTGACTGTTACTTGTAAGGCGGGGTTTTTGGCCTTGTGTTTCTGTGCTGGTTTCTGAAACAAAATACCAAGTCATGCTTTTTTGTTTCCTACAGAACATCGATATATTGAACTATTCCTGAATTCCACTGCTGGAGGTGGATCTGGAATGGGAGGCTATGGCAGAGATGGAATGGGTACGCATCAGTTCCAGACTTAGCTGACGTTTTGCCAAGTGTAGGAGTTGCAGGCTTGTAACGATGCACTTTCTGCTTTTCAGATCAAGGTTACGGCTCCGTTGGTAGAATGGGAATGGGTAGCAATTACAGTGGTGGATACGGAACTCCTGATGGCTTGGGCGGATACAGTAAGTATAAAAGTTCTGTTTTAAATGTATTCCTTGAAAATGTTGCTATGTCCGTCTGCTGACGGACTGTCAGGAAGGGTGGTGGGATTTGTGTGCTGTGGGGCATTTGTGCTGGGAGAAAGGGAAGGAGGATTGTGGTTTAATTTAAACTGTCAATAAATCACTTGGGGTTTTACGCATTTTGCTACTGCAGCAAATGCTTGTTTAGAAAATAGTGCTGAAGTACTTTTATTTTAGTATGAGTTAAGTCACATTCAACTGACTGTTCTGTATTACCCATCACATTTTTTCTTTTTTTAAGGTATGTATGCGTGACCTTGTGTCAATTGTTTGCAGGTCGTGGCAGTGGAAATAGTGGAGGTTACTATGGGCAAGGCAGTATGGGTGGAGGAGGATGGCGTGGAATGTATTGAAGGATAGCCTTGCTTCTGCAAAACATCCTGGAAGAAACAGTCTCTGGTCTACTAGACTTTCTTACAAAATTTAATTTCTTTTGTATTTTAAGAACTTTATAATGACTGAAGGAATGTGTTTTCACAACATTATTTGGTAAGCAACAGATTGTGATGGGAAAATCTGTTTTCTGTAGGTTTTATTTGTTGCATACTCTGACTTTAAATAAATTTTTATATTCAAACCACTGATGTTGATACTTTTTATACTAGTTACTCCTAAGGATATATTACATACTCAAGCCTACAGTCGGTTTAAGGTGTTGTACTGTGGTTCAATAAAGGTGGTTGTACTGTAACTCCTATGAACACTGATTCAGTTCTATGTAATCTTGATGTAGTGAAAGCGTTTGGAAAAATCTCTTGTTTCAGGGGGAAAAGGTAGACGAGTAGATTAGTTTATTTGGTAACAATCTTTCCTAAACCCTTTTGGTAAGTTCAGTTGTATGTAATAATTTCTCAACACGGCATAAAGCTGTGGAGGCTAAAAGTCATCCTCCCAGCTTCCTTCCTTGTCCTACTGAATCTGCCGTCATCTTCGAGTGCTAAAGCAGTAGCGCCCGAGGTTTGTGTGCCCACAGACCCAGCAAGGCAGTTTACTTCCGTGCCTCGCTGTACAGCTCCAGGCACTGTGTCCCACATGGGTAGCAGCTTTTGGCTAACATGAAGTAGGTCAAACGCTACTGAGTTTGGAGCTATCTAAGTAGTAGGCTTTTTTTCACAAACACTGCTTTTTGGGAAGAGTGAGGGATTGGGAAGCAAGTTACTTTTTTTTTATTATTATTTCATGAAATTACTGTATTTAAACGTGATTCAGCCTTTTTTTGCTGCTGTATTTGTTCAAAACTTGGCAGGCCATTAATGTGGATGAGCTCATGAGAAGCAAAGTATCTCTAAAGTACAAAATACAAGCCCAATATTGTTAAATAACACACAACCCGAACACATTGATAAAACTTTTTGTGCATTTGTAACATGTAAGATATGTAAGAAGCTATTGTTTGAAGACACTTAACATACCTGATGTGTAATGAAAAAAGGTATTTATTCTTCTGAGCCAGTGTGATCTCCCAAATTAACTGCTTTGTCCTCAATGCCTCCCTTAAAATGTCAAATGTGATCTTGGGTATTGAAAGTCTGTCACCTGTTTTGCTAGTACTGTGTTATATATGTAATAAATGTCTTATTGTGGGAGAGGAGAATGGAGTTTATTTCACTAGAGAACGTGTTCTTGTGTCAAAGTGACTGGAAATAGGAGCTGAAAGGGCAGTTGGCAGAGGAAGCTCTTCAAGTATGGAATATTTCAGGCTAGAAAGGGGAGGGAACGTGACTTGAGATCACCACACCCTTGATTTTACAGGGCTTTGTTTTAACTGGGTGCTATTAAAAACAAGTGGGTTCTTGGTCTTTTGTTGAAAAAGCCGCTATGTTTTGTAAAACTAAAAAGACAAAGGTCAGGACAAGAGTTAGTCCAGTTGCAGGAAAAAATGCCATGCAGTGAGGTAGAGGACATCTATGCTGACGGGAAGCGTGTTTCTACTCTCCTGTCAACTCTACGATCTCCCTTGGGTACACTTTGCGTTCAGCTACTGCCTGTTTAAGACTCACCTTTGGAGAGCAGGGTGGGAGTTAGGCTTCCAGTGATTTTTTTAGCACCAAAAAGCACACTGAACTTGAGTCTTGATGCATGAAATTCCGCTGTACTGGACAGTGAATCCTTTCCGACTGTCCTGCCCCTTCCACAGCAACGCTTCGCCCTGTAACAAGAGCAGCCTTCAGCGTTGAACCATTCAAGCATTTGAATTGCGGAGGAATTGGTTTTGAGAAGAAAACCTCCGAAAGAAGATTGCTCAGTCAGCAAGGGAGGTTTTAATTACTGCAGAGTTGTGTTTTAGCCTTTGCTGTGAAGAGCGGAGAGGAGAAGATCGCAGTTAAGTAACAAATTAAATTTATTGCATGTTATGGAAATGCACTGTATTTTTATTATAAAAGATTGCCAATTTTAAAATTTTCTTCAGTTACATACTTTTTGAAAAGTTGCTTATCAAAGCAGTACAGATCAGCATCATCTGTGTCCCAGCTCAAACCCTACTGCCTCCATACCTGCCCCACATAAAGCCCACCAGAAGACACTCTGAAATGCTTTCCAGGAGGCATGCGAGCAGTGCTCAGTGCGTTATGTCACCATCAGGGCAGCTCCCTGCTCCACAACGTGTGCAAAGACTTTCTAAGCAACTTGAAAAAGTCATTATAAAATACTCAGAGTTACAAATTTAAATAAAGTGACATTATTCCCACAGATAAGTTGCAGATCAGTTAAATTTATTTTTTTTTCCAAAAGCTATTTACAGATTTACAAGCATTCATTTTGTATTTTACAAAAAGTTACATCAGGTAATTTTAAAAACGTTTTTCTTTACAAAAGCTACATAAGCAACTACACTGAGGTGTTAAAAAGAACAGCTGTGTTAGCTTTTAGAATATTAATACCTACCCTCGAAAGACAAAGCTAAGCTAAACAAAGTGCAGGAACAATTAAAAGACCTGTTTCAAAGCCTCCCTTCTCCTGTTAGTAAGAACATTCCAAGCCCCTGGCTGAAGGAAGCACTGGGCAAATAATCCCGCTGACGAGAGTGTGGAGGTTCCACGGCAGGACCCCATCGCATGAGCAGCTAAAGGGAAGGGGGCAGACTGGTCCCAGTGCAGCCATGTGGAAGTGAGGACAATTTATCAAAGGACGTATTTGTGTCTGCCTATGGGAAGAATAAGGATTTACGTTGCAGCAGAAGGTACCATCAGACCTAGGGGTACTCAAAAAGTGCTCGGGGAAAAAAATGAAAGTTCAGGAACAAACTGTGAAAGTTTGAGAAAGACGATGACAAAATGAAAAAAAAGAACCTTTCAGTCCAACAGAGAAAGGATGCAGTCACCAGCACTAATCCCAGTCTGTCCTGGTGGCAGATTGACTCTGCTTCCAGAGCTATACAGTGACTACGTATGCAAGCTTGAAAGTGTGACTTATGTGAAAATAATGCAAAGATATTAGTTCAAGGTGACAGACAACGTCAAGCAAAAATTTTGTGATGGACATCTTGTTTTAGTGGAAACACAGATATGTCAAATTAAGTTATTTTTAAAAAATAATTCAGCAAAATGCACTTTCCCTCATCAAGTGCCTCGAGGCACCGTTTGTTACTGGTCTGACAAAATCTCCCCTCACGCCTGTGACTACAAACAACAGAGCTGTCAGTGTGATATTCTTGGATGCATCAAATCTTGTTAATTACGGGGCGGTAAACAAACACGACGTTTGGCAATAGCCTATCGGACCGCTGCGTTAATCGCATTACATTACCTTTCTAAAACACAATTTACAACTAGCTACCGCACGGTTCTGCGTCACAGCAGCGTGTCACAGGCACGTTCTGCAGCAGAATTAGACCGGACCCATTGCAGACTAGCCTGGAAAAGCAGGTAAGTGAATCGTCTGATTCACGATCATCGTAACAACTAGGATACTCATCGCATACGTGTTAACGCTGAGTCTCCTCTAAAAACTCCCGTTTCCTCCAAAAGAGCTTCTGAGCCCTCTGTTAGACTAACATCGTCATCTGTACTTTCCACACCTGCATTTTCTACATCGGGTCCCATTTTCTCTGTTTCAACTTGGTGCAGACAAGTAACTCCTCCACAGTACCTTGAAAATGCAACTGCTTACCTGAAATTCAGGTAATAGCGCTGTACATTCTTTAGTTGGTTTGGTTTTGTTTTTACAGGTTTAGCTAAATACCAAAAGGTAATAAATACACTGTCAAACGATCTTATGGCACATTGGACGAGCACCTCTGTATAAGTATTGCATGGCAGGAATCACAGACCCGGACGGGCTTTGGTGAAGAAGGCAGAGGCAGTTCGTTGTCAGAGCAGGCGTTACAGAAGATCTCACCGCAGTTTCTACAATGATGCTAAATAACAGGGGAAAGATTAAAAATTAAAATGTACAATGGAAATATACTTGGTAATCGGAGACCAACAAACAATATACACAGAGCAATCTGAGATGTGATTCCTTCCACTTCTTTGGTCTGAGCACGGAATTAGTATGCATTCAGTATACCAGTACGGGACCATATATATTTATTTTTTTTTTATACATATATATGCTTTGCAGACTTCATTCAATCCCTGGATTAAGAACATACTCTGCTATATAAAAATATAACATAAGCAATAATATTCAAGACAGTGGATGATTCCGTCAGGCAGCTGAGATCCAACAGAAAAAGGTAAAATAAAAATTCCTGCACACACTAATACAGCATGGAAATTAACATCACATTTTACTTTGAAACAACAATAAACTCATACTTTCTGAGTCAACTGTATAAAAAATGACACAAAAAGACTTCCACACATGTCAAATTGTAACAGTGCCAGAGCTGACAAGCGTTTGAGATGATGATTCCCCAAAGTAAGTGTCCTGGTTTTGGCTGTTACAAATGATCCCAAAAGTTACCTGATTTGGGATCATTTTCCGGGACGAGACAGGTGTTGGTCACCGGGTGGTGTGCAATTGCACTGTACATCACTTGTTTGTATATATTACTATCATTATACATATATATATACACTCACACTCATTATTATTAAATTGTTCTTTCTCAACCCAGGAGTCTCCTTCCCTTTTTCCCTTTAATTCTCTCCCTCATTCCCTGGGGCTGGGGCAGGGTAAGCGAGCGGCTGTGTGGCGTTTAGCTGCTGACCAGGCTAAACCACGACAGGAGGCTGAATCATATTTAAGTACGTTCCTTTGTGGCACTTCATCTAAAGGCAGTGTTTCTTTTGAAATTAGGGCCCAGCTGCATTGTACATGTCAAAGAACTAGAAAGTCATCTCAAAAATAACTATGCATTCATCTGAACTTTGACATTTTATGCCGCATCTCTAAGATAATTATGTTTTTCTCACAATACATGTAAACAAGTTGGAAGAAATATCATTAAAGTTTTACCTTCCTTTTGGAAAGGGAAAATTCCTTTTCACATAGCTTGCAATGTGTAGCCTCTTTGTCCTTCAACCAAACCTGGCCCTGGAGAAAAAAAAATATGGTAACTAAATGTATCTAATGAAGTTAAACTTTGGGTTCTGGGAGAGAAGACCAATCAACAGCAGCATTTAATGCCCTGAG